GTTGGCTGATTAGGGAGTTTCCTGGATCGAACGGGGTGGCCGCCCCCCCGTGATCAACAGGCTTCCCCCCCAGTTCACCATCCCTCCAGGGTGGTTCCGACACCCTATGGTGTCCCAAACAAGGTCAGAATTCAGCCCGGGGGACAGAGCTCTGTCCTCCTGCTGCTGTCTCGTCGCAACGTCAAGCCAGAAGTCACCTTCCCGTCTTATTTTAAGGCAGCTGTTCTGTACTAGACCAGTGCCTGTTGTCAATTATGGACTGCATGAGGGTTAACAAACTGAAACTTAAACCAGAGAAGACAGGCGCTCCTGTTCAGTCACAAGGTGAATCAGGGAATATGGATTCAACCTGTATTGGATGGGGTTACACTTTTCCTGAGAATTCAGATCTGCAACTTGGTTGCCCTCCTGGACTCAACTCTGAGCTTAGATGCGCAAGTTTCAGTGCTGACCAGGAATGCCTTTACACAGTTAAAGTTGGTGCATCAGCTGTGTCTATTCCTTTAGATGTCTGATCTGGCCATGGCGTCGCATGCCTTAGTTACATCTTGACTGGATTATTGTGAGGTGCTCTACGTACGGCTGCCTTTGAGTAGTGTTCAGAAAGTTCAGATGGTTCTAAATGCTGCAGACAGACTACTGACAAAGTGCTGTTTTCTTAAACCTATAAAGCCCTATACTGCTTGAGTCCAAGCTATTTGAAGGATTGTATCTCCTCAGATCAGCCTACTCAGCTTTTAAGATGTTTTGGAGAGGCTCTTCTCTCATTTCATCATCTTCCCAAGCTTGTTTGATGAGGACATGAGAGAGGGCATTCTTAATGGCTGCTTCCAGGCTTTGGAATGCACTGCCACACAAAGCCAAATTCATCCTCTCCCTGTTGTCCTTCCATTGTCAGACAAAGACCTTCCTTTTTAGGCAGGATTTTGCACAATATGTGGAGTGTCTAGGAAATGCTCCATCTATGAAGTTTAGATTTAATTTTTTTTTTTAAAATTATTTTTAATCTTGACCAATGTTTAATTGTTTTCAATATATTGTTTTGTATAGTACTTTAACCTAATACTATTGTATGGTTTTTGGTGCTGGAGGAGACTCTTGAGAGTCCCCTGGATTGCAA